CTCTCTCTCTCTCTCTCTCTCTCTCTCTCTCTCTCTCTCTCTCTCTCTCTCCCCTTCCCTCTCTCTCTTTCTCTCCCCTTCCCTCTCTCTCTTTCTTTCTCTGTCTATAATTTGTTTTGTTTAAGCGAACAAATCCGACGCTGATTCGGCTCTGCTTAAAAGTGAAACACTTACAATTAGAAAGTTTTAGTTTCCTTTGACAGCATAATTAATTATGCACCTGATACTGGAGTATGACACCTCACAGCGTAGAGTATTTGTTTTCCAAAATTAAACCATAAAAAAATAACAACCCGTAGATCACAACATCTAATTTTTTTCTATGGTGGAGTGGGGGGGAGGGGGGGGGGAGAAAATGAACTATTGATCTGTTGATTTGCACATGATTCAGGGATCGATTCAGTTGTCAAAGTGGTCTGTCAATCAATCTGTCATGTATTCGTTTGATTAATTGACAGGCTGTTTTCTGTATTCTCGGCATCAGTGGTGTTACTTTTTTACTTTCCTGTCATTGGATACAAAAGATAAGACGTTGATTCCTATTTGGGGACATGGCGTTACTACATAACCACGTCTGACAGCTGGAAGACTGGGGTCCAATTCCGGCTGTTTTGCTCTTCAAGGAAAGGTCGAAATAGCCCGCTTACTGAAGGGTCTTAATTATGTCGATGAAGTCGTGAAGCATTTTGCTACCTCAGAATTACAAAGTTTGATACATGTACCTAGTTTTAAGAAATTTGGCGCAAAAAAGTGTAATTTGACATTGTGTCAAGCTTTTCCGAAAAAAAAAAAATCTGCGAATTTGATAGAGCAGATAGAACACTGGTTTCTGCCTTCATGGTCTTAGTAACGTAAAACGGTAAAACAAATGTCAGATAAAACTTTGTAGTTCTGTGGTAGCGCTTTAGAATCATTTACACGACCATTTGAGTGATATTTACGCTGATTGAATGATATACTGAATAAAGAGAAACATGTCAACACAATAGCAATATTCATATTCGCATGTATAAAGATAACCCTAAAACGTTTTTAATCTAAAACTGGAAACCGAATAATACTGAAAAAATTTGATAACGCTTAATTAAAACAAAATGAAATCTAGATTATCTGCAGTCATGTAACCTATACTTACACACATTAATGTTTTGTGTGGTTATTTGAGCCTCTTTCACTAATCGCCTATCGGGGAAACGAGGTCAATGATCTGTTTGCGAGAGATGACACACGAATCAACGAAACAGTTCATTTTCCCTGCACCTCGCAACACAACTGCTGAAAATGTCTTTGACATGCCAAGCTTTAAGATAATACCGATTACACGCCCAAAACACCAACGATCACCTGATTTCCACCGTGTCACGACGCCGTGGAATCAGTCGCTCGTCAATTTTAGGGCATACGGAGTTATGAATATCATTCTCAAGCTCGTTCATTTGTCGTGCATTGGGCGTAAAAAATACACATCTATCGTGAAAAGAAAAAGCCGAGATATTTGTGATTGAATGAGGAAGAGGACGCCTGGTTAGAGAGGTACAATTAGCGCGAAAATGGCCGACAAAGTCTTGTAACTTCCAAAGCTTGAGTGTCCTTGGAAACTGGAAAAGTCTATTTTTAGTGCCTTTTATGAACGTTTTTAGTAGCTTCCTTTCGTTTTTAAAAGGACATTAAAGATGTTGAATTAATAACGAAAATTCGAAAAACAATTGCCTGACGCCCAGAAAAATGCTGTCTTAAAAATAAATCATTGTTTTGACGAAAGCCTGATTACACCATGCAACCTCACATTCTACTTTGTCCTCAGAGTGGCCACGAACCCCGCTAGAGTGGCGTCTCCCCAAGGCTCCCCCACCGTCCCGCCCTGACTACACACGTGTCGGGCTGCCAGCTCGCTCACTGACCACACTGGCCGTGGATCACAGCCCCTCGTCTACGTCCCGCAGTCGTGACGTCAGCCCAATCAGCGGCCACGTCAAACAGCTTGACCTAGTGGCGGACGTGCTGGTACCACAGGACACTCTGGTAGCTATTTTTTCCTACAGTATGTATAGTATGTTTATGGCCTTTTTGCATCGTGCGGCTTTTACGGTGCGCATTCCCTAAGAACACCATTACTTTATATGCGCTATTTCCCGAAAAGGCGCGATTTGGGTGGGGTTTTTTCAAAGAAGAAATGTATACCTCAACGGTTATAACTCATAGACGTTTGTATTTTGTGCTAAAGCAAAGTTCAAATCTTTGTCAACACTAACATAATTTGTAGGACCACATTCACTTCCTCTGACGAACGTTGTCAACCGTGCAAGAGGTAAACACTTTCACCTATTGAACAGCAGGGCTGGTTTAGACACTTCCAAAACCTGCTAAGTTTTAGCTTTCCTTTCACAGCCTTCTAACTCAAAACATCCCAAAGTTTGTTTTTTTTTTAACAAAGAGAAACAGCGAATTGCCTCGTGGAATACGTCTGCAAAGCTAAAATTTTCAGAATAGAAAAAACACCGCCTCTAAATGATTTGTCTTCGCATAACGAAAGATGAATATTTTCTTTTAAAAATAGACCAACTTGACATAGCAGAATATTACGAGTGTGAGGTCGATATGGGACTGGAGACCCTTTTTCAACAGTGGCATCATCAAACTTACAGTTAAACTAACGGGCTATTGCTGATTCGCTTTTGACACAGTACACCACATTTAACTGGAGAACAGAACTACACTGATTTTCTTTCTCAAGTTTCACCAAGTTTGAATCCTTCCTTGGTGGGTTTATCCTTCAGATAAACATTGAATGCGGGAATACACAATGGTTTCATTAATGCAACATTGTAAAAAGACTTTTGACAGGTAAGAGGAAACCACCACATCAGAACGTCTGCCAACCTTTCCTTTATTTTTTTTCGCCGCCGACTTATATCGGCACATTTTCATTAACATCTTATCATTGTGATACAATCGAACTGTTGAATGTTGTCACAAATTTTTAAGTGAACGGTGTTGTGAACGGGCTAAGGATGTTGTTTTATTACGTAATATTAATTACGATTTGACTTGTGCATGGACATTAATTGTTACGTTGTTCCATGTTTTGTCGAAGAAAGGTGATAAAAGGTTTTGCTAATTCACGTTATCGTAATTTATTATAATGTTTTGCATATATTTAATTACATTTCTTTTGTATTCTTAGGAAATTCCTGTTGACGATGTGGCCTTTGTAGCTGAAAGGTAAGACACTGCTTTATTTCAAAGATAAGTTTGCATGCGTAGAAACTGCTGTTTAATGTACTTATAGCATTATTCAAACCATCTATCAAGTCTCTAATATGATAAACAGGGCGGGATTTCAATGTTAGTTCATGTTATGTTATGTTATGTTATGTTATGTTATGCTAGGTTATGTTATGTTATGTTATATGCCTGGAGGTTTGTTACGTTCAGTGATGCTATCTCGTGTCATGTTGATATGTGTGTTGTTATCTTATGTCATTTTAATTCATGTTTGCCTTGTTTTGTAATATATTTCTTTCCTTTCTGGCCTTATGTTACTTATTGTTATGGTACCAATTATTTGTTATTTAATGCTTTGATGTGTTTTTTTGTCACGTAATAATGTATTGGCTTTTGTTTTGTTAAGTTTTCTAGGGCATTTTTCTGTCAGTTTGGCAATTTTTACTAAATTTTTGTTTTTTGACTCAACGCTGTTAAGGTCTATTAAAACCCAATTTCCTTGTTAATTTTACTTAGAAATGTTGATTAGAGGCACAAAAATGTAAATTTTCAGTTTCTAAGGACTCTCAAGCTTTAGAAGTCGCCACATTTTGACTGTCATTTTCTCGCTAATTTAAATCTGAACCCAAGCAACTCCCACCTCCTTCAATCACAAATATCTCGATCTCCATTTATGATAGATGAGTATTTTTTTTCATCGAAAGCAAGACAAATGAACAAGCTTTAGAATGATGCCAATAACTCCATATTTCCAAAAATTGACAAGCACCTGATTCCACTGCGCCATAACACATATTTTGCTATTTGACAATATCTGATATGCTACACAAAATTGTATATACTTTGTTGAGATATGATAATATTATGTTTTCTTATATTATACTGGTTTCTGAAATGACATAATATGTTTAGTAATACAATTTGTTGTAGCATGAATATATCATGTTTGTTGTATCATGGTGCGTTAACCCTTCTTTCCTCTATGTCATTAAACTCATTATCTATAATCAAATTGTATAATGTGTCATCTAAACGTCTTCCCCACAGTCTCAACCACCTTCCAGACCTCCCTTCCTTCTCCTTCCTTCGCCACTCTCTCTTGGCCGGCCGGTCCACATACGTGCAGATTGTGGCCTCTATACTTCTGCACCAGAAACAACTTCGCGCCAAAGACATACGTCAGGCAGAATGGCAGTTCCCGGGCTTCTGTGGGGGCTGTAAGAGAGCTGGCTTCTGCTATGGCTGCAAGAAAAACCCAAAACCACAGTAAGTATTCGTTCATTGCATTTTCCCACATTTTTTTTTTTTTTTTTCTTTTCAGCACTTTCCTTTTCTCTGTGAGTAGTTGTTGCAGCTTTTCAAACTTATTTTTTCTGCACTTTATTCTTCTTCACTTTTTATAACATCATGCCTTCATAATTACTTTGATCTCTTTTACCTTTAATCCGTCTGTCTATATTCATGTCTTACTTTTTTATGACTTAACTTTTGTGGCGGTTGGTTTTAGTTTTGCTGCATTAAATTTCCCGTTCCTTTGGAGTTCACTGTTCTCCTTATGAGCCAGGCATCTATTGAGTAACGTTGGGCTTTGTTGAGTTCTATTGCCACGTAGTGTACATATCCCATTGAGCTTCTCTTGACTGATCCCGATGCGTCTGACAGAAAAATGGCTTGCATACGGAACCATGATTTTGCTGAAATAAAATTGTTTTAAAGATACTGAAAAAGAAAAACAGCACTATTTTTTAAACAATAAATGTGTAATAACAAGGACCTTTGGAATCCATATCGATTACAACAACATGAACAGAACTAACAACTACGGAAAGGGCAACTTAAAGAGAGCATTTAACAACTTTAACATGAGTAGTTGCAACATCAAAAGTGTCCCAGGAACATATTATTATTAATACAACAAAAATGGTAGTAATAATAACACAAACAATAGCAAAATTCCCCAAATAACAACAACAACAACAACAACACTACAACAACAACAACAACATAGCAACACCAGCAACGTTCGTTTCATTCTTCAGTGTTCACGAAGACGTCCCCGCCATGACTGGAGGTGGCTTCCGGTTCTGGAAGCGAGACCGTCCCCGGGACCCTCAGAACTGGAAACATCCGGGCAATTGGAACCTGCCCACAAGCGAGAAAGAGCTACAGGGAATCATTGAGCGTGAGTGTGATAAATCTAGTTTATTTGATTAACCGACTCCAATGCCACACGTGCGTGCGCTCACACACACGCACACACATACATACACACACATTCACACGCACACACATACACGCACACACACACACACACACACTCACACACACACACACATACACACACACACACACACACACACACACGTACGCATAGACACGTACGCACACACATATACACACATTCGCACCCATACAAACACACACACAATAACACACACACACACATATACATATACACGTATCTACGCACACACCACATTCACAAACATACGCACAAACAACCATTCATACACACATACGTACTCATACATACGTGATATACATACACATAACATATACGCACATGACATAATATACGCATACATATGAATGTACATAATACTCACATACCTATACACATACACTAATACCAACATCCCCCCAATCAACTCATGACAACAAACAAATACACACACAAATATTTGCACACAAACACCCGCACACACACACACACACGTACAAACACACACAGACACACACAGACACACACAGACACACACACGCACACACACGAAAAGACACAAACACACATACACACACCCACCCACCCACCCCACACACACTCACACACACACACACGCACAGACACAAACACACATACACACACACACACACACACACACACACACACACACGCACACACACAAACACACATACTCACATGTTATATCACAATCACGGCAAGACGTCTTTTTTAATACTTCAAAACAAAATAAAACAAGCAAAAAAATCAAGGGAAAAAAAACGACGTTTTGTTTTTTGACATCGTTTTCCTTCATATTGTTTTTAAATTTCGAGGTAATTGCAACCCTAGAATCACAACGTTCTATCTGATCAACACCTCATTTTGATTAGATATGTCAAGCTCTTACGAAAGAATTATTTAAATATCTTGACAAGAACACTGAACAATCTTCATATAGCAGACAGAACATTGGTTTCTGACCTTGTGGTCATTATGATGATAGAACTTTGCAATTCTTGGGTAGTGTTGAAAGTTTTGAATATAAGTGCAATCGTTCAGACACTGTGTATAACTAAATCCTTTAGTAAATCATTGTACTATTCATCTTGATAGACTGAAAAGTTGAAATTAAAAGTGACATGTTATACTTTTAAGGATTATTAATGGCCGTTGGTTTGTACAGTTTTACTACAGGCATTGTAATACTACCCAATTTAAATTTGGGAAAATACTAGGAAAACGATACTCCAGTTGGGAAGTAAATTGCAGCATTACACTTCTTTTTGTTCGCTTTGTTTTTTGGTTGTTTTTGGGAGTTTATTTTGTTTGTTTATTTTTTGTGCCTTTGGCTCGTGTTTTGTTTTTTGTGTGATCTTTTAAGGCAAGGTGTCTAAATAACAGGTACAACAACAGAAACGTACATAAATGAATGGTAATACCTGTATATAAACAAAGTATTACCC